AGCAGGAATCCATACTTCCTACCAAAAATCTTCAGTTTGATTGCTTAATATACACATACTTATCAAAAGTTCATTAATCAACCTAGGATAGGATTAGCATATGTGCCTAAAACAAATTGATGTGCCATAAATGATATTTAAACTATCATCCACACAAATGAAAGAGACCCAACAGAGAAGAAGAAGGTCACTAAACCAATATGAAAAATGTAAAGCACCTTCTCCTTAACTCAACTGGAAGAGAAAACATATTTGTCAGGTTTTTTTTTTTAATTTTTAATATCACTAGTCTTCTCGTGGACTTTAACCATCTGTGTCACTATTACGTATAAAAGTACAAAGCTTGAACTTCTCTGCCCTTGAATTTATTTGGATACTAACTAATAGCGTTATCATTCTCATCTTTAGAGGTTGAGCAGGAGCACTAAGTAGATTACGAGTTATTTTTTTTATTTTTTTTGAGATAAATTATATAATCACACTAGAAAGATTTGATCTATCGTATTCTTGAAAGGTTATGGAGTGATTGTCTTAAAGAGACAATCTCAATCCCCTTTATAGATAGCGTTGTCATTTCTATCCTAGAAGGTTATGTACAGCACTGTAAAATCATGTATGTCTCATTTAAGGTAAATTGTACAATCACACTAGAAATATAATCGATTCCTTTAAAAAAATATATACAATCACACTAAAAAAACTTAAGCTTATCTCACCCTTAAAAGGTTGTAAGGCGATTGACCTGAGGAGATGGTCTTAACCTTCTTTGCTAATGGCATTGTCATTCCTATCCTTGAAGTTTATGTAGAAACACTAGGGAGATCACGTCTTTCCTCTTGAAGATAACAAGAGAATTATAAGTAGAAAACATATCATTTTCTTTTTGTTACTAACAACTAAAGATAAAGAAATAATATTGTAGTAATAATTATTTATGTATTAATTTATGTGTAAAATAAGGATAATATAAGGATATAAAACATTTAACATTGAGCTGTTAAAATTAAAAGAGAGATTGTATAGGGGATAACAAGACAAGATCTCACACATAAAGTTCATACGTCAAATAAATGCTCAACACTTTATTAATTTGACTCTATTGAAAATTATTATAAATATCAAAGTATAATCCTTACTACTCAATTATATTAATATCTAATATAAGATTGTTGCCTTGTTATAGGCTAGATAATTAGTTTCTTCGTTTAAGGATTAATGCCTTGTTTTAGGCTGGATGAATAGTTTTTAGTTTAAGAATTAGTGTTCTATTTTGAGCTGGATAATTGGTTCCTTAATTTAAGTATTAATACCTCGTTCAGAGTTGAATAATTAGCTCATTGATTTAAAGATTAATGTCATGTTTATGATTCTGCAAGTGTATACCTTAGATGAGGTTTTATTAGCTGAATATGAGTTAAGAAGCAAATCTTTTGAATATTGGAGGGATCGATGAAATTAATAAAGATAGGAATTAAGTTATTTATTAACTTAATTGTTAATGGAAATGTATACTTAGTTAGTAAATTCATTAAATTATATATAAAAAAATATTATGTTAGGTTAGGTTAGGTTAGGTTAATTAATTAATTAATTGTGTGAAATAAAATGATTTCCGGTCCTCGCAGCTTTGTTGAGATTAGTAAATTATAGAATCCTTATGTTTTGTATCTTATAAGAACTTAAACTAATATTGCATATTTTGTGTAATTTTAGGATGATAACATGTATATTAAATATTTAATGTAATTATTATTATGCTAGGACTTAAATATTAGTTAAATCTATGATTAATTAAAGTAGAATTTTTCATTGATAATGTTTGTATTAACTCTAACCATAGTAGTTAAATGATATTTAGTTTAAATTATATGTTGTTATATTCTAATTATTTTTATGGATGAACCTTAGTTTAATTTATATATTAGTTAAATCTATAATACAAAATATGATTAATATGATGAGACAAATTGTAATGTAATGAGTCCAAAAAGATTGAATAATGATTGGAATGTGAATTGACTATTTATTAAAATATAATAAATTTAATTGATAACTTAAAATTTATTGGTATAGGGGAGATTCTGTTAAAATTTTAGTAGATTCTATAATAAAAAAATCACAATGTTTTCAAATTTATTACATGAAAATTATATTTAAAAAATTAGGGATATTACAACCTGCTTTGCTGATGTTATCATTCCTATCATTGAAGGCTATAGAGGAGCATTAGAGAAATTATGTTTGTTTCATTCAAGATAAATTATGCAATTACATTAAAAAGCAATCGATCCATTTCAAGGAAAATATAAAATGTTTCTCTTATTTTTATTGAAAAGTATAGTCACAATTTTTATTTTTATTTTGAACTTGGCTTTAGCTTGTAGATCGATCCACCCTTAATGTGAGCTAGGTGTCAAAGAAAAGTCAATTTATAATTAATCTAGTTTGATTCAGTTGATGAGTTAATTTGTGAATTAATCAACACTTAATTTATTTTTTATTCTTTTTGTAAAATGATATGGGCCTCCTATGACTACCCATGTGCATTTATTATTTTTATTTTTTATAAATAAATACTGGCTATATTTCTCCAAGTTTCAAATGTGGTTGTAGAGAAGAAAAGGACAGACGATGTCCAAGAAAAGAAGTAACCAATGGCCTAACTTAATTATTTGCAAACAATAAACCTTGAATTTGTTGTGTTAAGGATATCAATTTAAAAAGTCTCATGATCAATGATTTGTTGTTAAATTTAGGATCTAAATTAGGATTCCAACCTAAATCCCAATCCCACTTGTTTTGTAACAAGAGGCAGTATCAAGCACAGATATTAGGTGCAATAATAATTTGAAGGACAAAGAAAAAATTTATCGACACATTTTATCAAGGCAATTCAAATAATTGCTGGGCTGCTGCATTTCTCTTGCTTTGATTCAGCATAAAAAATATTTTTATATATTAATCAAGATTAAGATTCTTTCAAAGGTAAAGAAGAGAGTATACTTCTCCAAGTAAGATTCTAGTCTATCGGAATTGACTCTGCTGCATTAGTCAATGTCTTGCCAGAAACCTAACCCTATGTCTGCTACTGGTTGGTTGCCATCAGAATCATTTCAAGGTGATGAAGGAGAAGGCACATGTTTATTTCTCCTACCGCAACAACATGTAATATATCAACATTCAATCATGAAGCAAGAACAATATGATAATGAAAAGTCTTGGTCAACTTAAAAACATTCATGGACTAGGCTTCCAAGCAGCTAAACAAGTAGACATCGTACAGGAATTTTGGATTGATGAAGATAAAATAAATGCTTGAGTCATCACTCAGAAATTAGATAGATTATAGGGAAATGAGGGTGGAGATCTTTGTACAGTTTCCTGGAAGCTAAAAGAGCAAGGGATTATGGTTTTTATTTTTTGCTGTAGGATTTAAAAATGGACAGTTCGTTGGCAAGTTGTGCATTAATTAAATATTATAAGGGAATCCTCAGGAAAAAGAAAAAAAAAAAAAAAAACTATTACAAGGACTTGCCCCTGACAGATATAAGGCAGGGATCTGAAGTTCCATTTCCCGACTTTACTTGATTTCATAAACAAAATGTATCCTCCAGTAAATGACCAGCCAAGATATCCAGTAGATGCTCATCAAGGCCCAATCCTTGTTTCAGGAGCTCCTACTCCCAATCCTATATACACTTATGCTCCACATGTGGCCGTGGGGCATGCTCCTGGTGTGGCAAGGAAGTGGTCTACTGGTCTCTGCCATTGCTGTGATGATCCTGCAAATTGTGAGCTTGTGAAAACTTAACTACAAACACAACTTTTTTCTAGCTAAGACGATCAACTACTCTCACTTGTATTTTTTTCCTTAGTTAATAACTAGCATTTTATTTCATTTTATTAGGTTTCATCACTTGCCTTTGTCCTTGCATCACTTTTGGACAGATTGCTGAAATTGTGAATAGGGGATCTACAAGTAAGCCAAGAAAATCAGTCAGCTGGTTTTAATTCTTCAAATATTTTCATTTTTTCCCTCTTTCTGTTGTAATATCATTCATCTCATAAACTACATGTTTACTGGGAGGAATTGCAGCTTGTTTTATGAGTGGAGCAGTATATGCGCTATTGTTGGGTTTTGCATGCTTGTACTCCTGTTGCTATCGCTCAAAATTGAGGGGCCAATATGACTTGGAGGAGGCCCCTTGTATGGATTGCCTGGCGCACTTCTGCTGTGAGACTTGCGCGTTGAGTCAAGAATATAGAGAGCTCAAGAATCGTGGATTTGATATGGGGATAGGTACTATATTTATACCTGCTCAGATATTTACAGGCTTTCTGTTTCATCAACCTTTCAAAAACTAGGAGGATATAAATTTGACAGGAAAACTCTTGCCCTAATTAGCCCTTCCTTCCATCCTGGCCATATGCAAGAAATATTGAGTCCCAGGTCACATTGGAATATTCTGACCTTTAGTTTACGATAGCCCAGAGCTACCAGTTGTTCACCAACAGAGTGTTGGATAGCAAAATGTTGAATACGTGAAATGATAAACTTGGTCTACATTTACTGGTGTTTGTGTTCATAAACGTCACCAGTTAAGATTTTCGAGAGAATTATACAAATTAAGCCCTCGTTTAGGTATCCTGAAAGGCATGGATGCACGCATCTGCATTTTTTTACTCATTGGCTTTCTGGTTTTCTTTAATTAAATCTGATCTTGAGTTTCTTTGTTGGATGGAAATTATGGGACCAAAATGAAGGCTGGGAAGCCAATATGGTTAGATTTCAACAGCGTGGAATCACAATGGCTCCAATTGCGACCCCAGGCATGACAAGATGACAGAGACCCTTCAGTTCAGTTCTGTTTTTTTTTTTTTCCTCCCACGGCAACAACTGATGCCAATGCTGCTGCCTATCCTCTTCTGCTATCGCGCTTGTTCTTGCAACATTTATGTCTTGTATATCGGTTTGCTTATTTGGGCTCTAGAGTGTTTACTTGCATATATCAATTTTCACATTGGCTACAAGAATTGTGAAAGTTTTGAGTCATTATAATATCCAGGAAAGGAAAATCTCCCATGATAAAACTGGTGATTGGTCTTCAGCGAGTACATAGAAAGTAGCAGGTGTTTATGATCATGGATCAACCAAATAATTCTCTACACAGTCTTCAATTTAACTAGATTCACCTAATAATTCCCTAAATTCTCAATTGATTAAGAACAAAAACACAAACTAGGATGATAAGGGTCTAATGAAGTTGTAAGAACAAAAATAAAGATTGACAGAGGCTGAAGGTAAGAGCCGACATTGATACCAACCAATGAAGAAGAGATTTTTGTAATATCGGGCACGGCTTACTTCTGGTGTAAAGCTCCTTCACTGAAAATGTTTAGCATGCCTTACCCAATCCAATCAATTAAGCTCCTTCTTTCTGTGTTTTTTATGCAGGCTCACTTTCTTCATCTTGGCTTCGCGACGCTCGCTCTTCACTCCTTTAGCTTTACTAGGCAGTGCCATCTCTCCGATTTAAAGAAATGAAATCATTTGTTAGGTTGGTTGCCTTAATGTGCAACAGACTATTGCAGCTGGAGTTGTATGGTTGGCAGCCATCATTATTAAAAAAGAGCTAGAGTTGACAACCATCTTTGTTGAAAAAAAATCTTCATGAATGTCTATAAATAAAAACATATATGAGAGAGCAAAATGAGAGGAAGTAGAGCTAAAAATATGAGAAATATAAAAGAGAGTGGGCTGCCATTGCAGCACTAAAAAGAAAGAAATAGAGTGAGGTTGAGAGTTGTGAAAGAGGAGATGATTCCTCCTCCTCTATTGTTGTAAATCTTGTACTCTCCCTATATAATGCAATGACTTCTCCCGTGGATGTAGGCGGTTTTACCGAACCACGTTAAATATTATGTTAGTATGCTTGACCTCCTATGAACAAATATCAGAACATCACGGGTCAGAATTCCCCAACATCATTCACATCACAAAACTTGAAAGAAACAAAGATTCCAAATAAAGATGTAATTTAGAACTAAAACGCGGCGGCTACACCTGGGCAAATGAAGCTACGTCTAGCACAGGACCAGTTTCACCCTTCCCCACACAAACATTCAGAATGACTAAATGCCTACTTACCTTTCGATCCGGAATATACATCTTTCCAAGCTTCCCTTGTAGAGCATCTTTACCAACGCTTTTAATCTGCAAGCACGAAAGAGGCAACATTACTGACATGCCATTTTATTCTCAGATGAAAAAAACAGAGACAGAAGTACATGGCTAGCTAACCTTCTTCTGAGGCTTATCCTTAGAAGTTTTCATGGCTTCTTTCCTTATGCTTTCATAAGGAAAACGATGACGACGAACTACAAAATCCATGGAAGGGCCAACTTCTACCAGTTCAATCCTTGGGACTATCGTGCCTGACCTTTCTAGCCGTAGTACACGGTGAGTGAGGAACACCTGATTTGAAGATAAAGCTGTACATACTTCCACGGCCCAACCCAGCAAGATTCAAATTATCCACAACCTGCATGAATTGGGTAAAAGCTCCCTTTAGTTATCTTTCAAAGTTTTGAAAGACAGGAGCATGTGGTAGCAGAAACAAACCTCTCCCGATTAGACATGTTTGAGTAGATGTGACAGGATCAAATCTTCTAAGGAGAATAAAAGAATTGCGCAAATAAACTAAAACTTCATTTACAAAATCAGGAGTGAGTAAATTCTATTCTTAACCAGATAAAAAAATAAATAAATAAGCACGGAAGTATATGCAAACAATGGAAAATTACATGTATATACAAATAGGTGGAAATGGAACAACAGAAAATACTCATAGCAATGCAGGTATGAAGGATCATGTTGAATATTTTGCATGGAAAACTTATAGTACAGTATCACAAACCAATGAACCTAAGAAAAGGTAAGCGACGAGGTCCTATTTTATCCCATAAGATCTGAGGCCGGCCCGAACTCAAAACAAAGTCATTAATCTTGGGATTCTAACGATGTAACCCACCTTTTTATCGAAGACGGGGGCAAATCATCATTACAAAGTAATATAGTGGATAGAGTTTGGAAACCTGATTTGGTGGTTAATCTGATCTAAAGCTCGGATCAACGGGTTTTGATAGAATCATTAAGATCAATTTTTTTAACTCAAAACAATATTGTTTTAGTAAAAAAATAATTCACAATAACTTTTTTTTTTCAATGAATGTATAGTTCAAACAGTAGATATGTATTTGGTTGAGATTTTTTCCTTTATATTAATGCCTTTCGCCTCGTTTCTTGCAAGGCCTGTGTTCAAGTCTCTTAACCAAAACATAATCATATAATAGCAATAATACCGTTGAAGAGATCAAGTTATTTTCATATCTAGTCTCGCCACAACAAATTATAAGAATCCAATTAAGCATTATAACAGTACGTATCACTTTTTGCCTTTCTTTTGGGCATTTAGCTGTCGATCATGTTCATATATATTACGAAATATTTAGCAGAATAGCTGAAGGGGATCCAAATAAAAAATGACATAAAATTTAAAGGACCTATAGACATACTGTCGTATCCCTTCATAGTTCATCAATGGGAGATGAGGTTGATGAATATAACTCAGGGCAAGCAAGGAACTGGTGGAAAGACATGCCAACCTTGCATGTCCTTGAACATGAGCTCAAGTGCTCACCACCGCCATCATCACTACCACCACCACCTTTCTTTCCATTTATTTTTCCACCAGTTTCTTGCAAGGTTTGCTGTGGGATGTTGTCCCATACATGTTTTCATATTCTACCGTCTCATTTTCTCCATTTGTTGTTGATGTGAAATAACGTAGCTAACATGAACAAGTTCTACGGTCTCGCTTTCTCCATTTATTCCTGGACTCCCGATGCTTCAAAAGAAAAGAGAATCAAATGGTAAAATTTAGCAAAGAGCATCTGGCACATAATTATCTCTTCTCTTTAGATGAAAAGTTAATTCATCACGGATCTAGTTTCATAAATATTTAAAAAGAGGAGCATGAAAACTAGCTGGCAAACATAAGTAATAAATAAATAATAAATATAACAACCTGGATATCATCATCAGTGTCTCCGTCTCCAACAGCTCCATGTATAATCAATCACATTATATTATAAACTTGATTACAGCTTCGTGAACTTCGAGATTGATTTGACGTAGCCCCAAGAAGCAAGTAATATCTTGCCATGTTTATTATTATTTAATTAACTAATCACTAACTATGGCAAAGAAAACAAAATTAATATGATTTGAACCTATGTACACTCATTTATTTCCTGGGGAATCGTGACATGAATAAAATAATCCAGAACTCACAGGAATATTGTCATTATTTATAATTTATTAATATAAATACTTGTGCCATCCCCGTAAACTAGCGCCTGTAGCTCAGTGGATAGAGCGTCTGTTTCCTAAGCAGAAAGTCATAGGTTCGACCCCTATCTGGCGCGTGCTCGCTTTTTGCAGATTTCGGGTTTAACTAGTCGAAGACTTTTATTTATTTTATTATTTTTTAAAAAATCATTTTATATCTATCTAATATGTGATTTATGTGTTTTATTTTTTAATGAGTTTTCGGCATCAGGCTGTGGTCCTAAATTGTTTATGAAATGAAACCCAAATTCATGTTATTAGAATTAAGTTTATTTATGTGTTTTAAAAATATTAAGAATAAAATAAAATAATTTATTTTTTATTTATTTTAAAATTATTTTTTATATTTTAAAATTATTTTAATGTGTTAATATGAAAAATAAATTTTAAAAAATAATCCTCGTTACCAAACATCTTTTATCCCGGAATACATTTAGCGGCGCAATGAAGGATAAGTTCGGTACCAGAAACCGTTAAAAGGACAAACTGTTTTGCAAAGAAAAAGAAAGGCAAAAATCTCTCTTTCCCTGGCTATGTTTTCTTCTACTACTGCCACCACTCCTTCCTCAACAACTCAAGCTAAGACTTCCTCCATATGCAGCTTCAGATCCCATGAAAGGAACTACGTATCCTATTTCCCTCGTGGGCACAAGCATATGTGTCAGTAACAAGACAGCAAGAACAAAAGCAGTGAGCAAGAGAAGCAGTTCAAATGGGCTCACTTGCTTAGCTTCATCTTCTGTTCTTCCATCGGCTCTTCTTTTTTATTGTGACGGCGTGCTTGTTGATACTGAGGAAGATGGCCACAGGATTTCTTCCCATGAAGTACTCTCCATTCTCTTTGATTAGTCTAATAATTCACTAGTGTTGGTAAATTTGAGTTGGTCTTTCGGATTCCTTCAAGCGGGGGCTTTGGTTTTGGGTAGGGATTCTTGAATTGTTGGTTTGTGGTTGCTTCGTTTGTGTTGTATACAAACAAGATATGATGCCCAGTTTCCTAAAGCTTGCATTCATTAAGCGAGTTAAGAAGTTATCATCTCTTAAGAAAATGGAGATGTACAGTAGCCTTCAAACTAAGGGATGATTTCACTATGAGGGTTTTCCCAGAAACCTTTTTCTTATTCCCAGAACCTTTCAAAATCTCAAAACAATCATGATCTGATTTATTCCCTATGAGGGTGCCTAACGCTACTGCAGCAAATTACTTAAAATTAAGGGATGCCGGAGCATATGTTGAGGCTCTGGAAGGACACTACAAGACTGTTAACAAACAATTCTAGAAATTAATGCATTGCAATTTTTTTATTTATTTTTTAAATGTAGCCTACTGCCAAACAATTCTAGACTTGCAACTTCTTTTTTTCCATGATGTGAAAGGTCTTCCATCTATTATTAATTTTTATTTTATTTTATTTTACAATCTTATTAACCATGTAACTACTATACGAATCTCTTCAAAAATTCTGAAACAAACCAAAAAAACTCCCTAGAATTGTTGGACTCCCGCAGGAACGGGCAGGCAAATCAACTTGTTTACTGCTGATAGAATTCGGAGGATATGAGAGGACAATGAAGACCTAATCTCTTAATTTTTTTTATTTTTTTCACCCTTGTTAATCCATGTCTTTGCAGGCGTGGTTATCACTAAACACTCGTTGACAAATGGAGTTGGATGAAACCGAACTGGGTTTATTATAGAGACACGTGTGCAA